TACAAGATGAATGTACAACTTTCTCTAATGATAATATAAGTTAATTAAATCATGTTGTGTTTATATTGTCAATGGAGGAAAAGAACATTGCATGTACCAGATTTATCAGGAACCTCAACGGAGACAATAGAGGCACCCCAATTAGTGAGCTTCACGGAAATATTTCCCTTCTTAAGTTCATAAAATTCAATTTTTTCTTCGGCTTTGGCCACATTGGGAAATCCCAATGCTACACAGATGCACAAGCAATAAAATAATAAAGATAGATTTCCCATTTTATTGTAAATAGAATAATATACAATACAATTGATTTAAGTCCTTTTGCGTGTCGAGGTTTTATATATGCTCTTTGTATGCTAAATTTAGGTAATTTATTACACATAGCAGATAAATTTGTGGTGTTGCATGTTTGGGGTTGGAGGGTAATGGCTGAAATTTAAGAAAGAATAAGTAGACGTCCGACATTTAAGAATCACTCCTCACAAATAGGCTATACTAATATTACGTATACTTTCAATTTGGTTAGGGGATTTGGGAGGAGAAAGGAAGGAGGAGTCATATATAAATATAAAACAATCCATGATCTACCTATATGTAGAAAAATTGAAATAAAGTCAAGATAAAATAGCATATAAAATACATAATTTAACCAATTATATAATTATTTATGGTCGAAAACTAACAAATTCAGATAAATTAGTAAAAAAAAATCAAACATTTTCCTCCCTTTGACCTCCGAAATCCCCAAATCAATCAAGCCCTTAGACCATTTGTAGTGGTTAGGAGGCTAAAAAGTTAAAAATGGACTCCGTCCCTATGAAATTAAAACAGTGTTTAGGCTCCTATTCAATTCCTTGCATCCCAGCAACGTCAATAAAATATACTCAACATATTTTTTCACATATCAATTTAGTAAAACATTAAATAAATTATTATAAGTAATATTTTCAATTTAATTTTTTCCCTAAATAATTATGAAATAAAAAATACATATTTCGATGTAAAAATAAATAATTTTTTTTTATTTTTTTTTTTACGTTTTTCGGTTAATAAAAAATGAATATAGTCCAAGTAAAATTTTATTATGGAATATTCAGTTATTTGTAGAGGCTCTATGAATTAAAAATTTGTGTTTGTGTTTTTTCAGGCTCAAGAAAACTCCAATAGTTAAAATTTAAGAATTTTTTTTTTCATTTTATATATTACATATTGGTGTCATACGAAAAATAAAAATTCATAATTTTTTATATATTTATGAAAATTTTGGAGAACAAATAAAAAAGTTATGAGAGTTTTAAAAAATTTGGGATTATAATAATGCAGGGATGACATCATCCTTACATCCATAAAATGCATTCTGGTTCATTCCCTCCCTTTCTTTTCTTTTTCTTTTTTCCACTCCTACTAACCCATCCTCTATTTCTAACACCCTTCATCCCCTTTTCCACTTTTAATACCCTATTTAGGGAGTGTTTGCAACTGCTTCTGCTTAAAAAAAGCACTTTTGGAGATGTAAGGAAAAAGTGATTAATAGTAAAAGTTAGAGCCCGTTTGGAGACCTCCTTTTTCGGCTTATTAGGCTTATCAACCAACTTTTTCACCAAACACGTAACTTTTACTTTCGTGCGCTGGATTGTGTAATAAGCAGAAAAAGTAAGGTTGAAGTTACTTTTCTAGCTGTATTGGCTGAAGTTACTGTAGATGACAATTTTAGCTATTTTACATAAATTTTTTCTTTATTTTATTAATAAAATATATTTTTAAAATATTTTTTTTTCTTGAATCAGCAGAATCAGCCAAAACAGCCACTTCAGCCAGAACTTCATAAATTTTAGCAGAATCAGCCAAAACAGCCAATTTTGGTGCTACCAAACGGGCTCTTAGTGTTTGAGAAAAAAGTGATTTTGAAAAGTAAAAGTTGGTAGTGTTTTGTAAAATAAGTGCTTTTGTGTAATAGAAAAGGGAAAAACAATTTTCACACGCAAGCCGAGAAAAAGTAAAAATTGGTAGTGTTTGGTAAATAAGTATTTTTTAAGCCAAAAGCTAAGAAGTGATTTTTTTTAAATTGTTGCAAACACTCCCTTAGACTACCACTACATGAAATTATGAGTCCAAAAGTTTTATCTTTAACATTTTGGACTCCTAATACTACACCACTCCGAATGGCCTTAGGGAACGATATGGCGCACCCTGGAATATTTTGCCATCCATTCACCCAACAAATTAACAAATACACATAAGTACAAACACATGCAATATATATTATTGTTGAAATAATTCAAGCTGTGAATTGAAGTTAATCAGACTAAATGTGTCTTACAATTTCATGTAATTTACCAAGATCGACATTAATTATTTTGATTTGGGGTATATATCATCAAGGCTGCCTAAATGGTGAGTAATTCTCCTACACCTATAATAATCTCAGAGAAAGGGATAAACGCGATATATGCTTAGTGGACAATTGAAGTAGAGTTGGTCAGTTGGCCGAATGTGATTGTCAAAGAAAATCTATTCTTTGTTATAAAGATCCGTGTAATCATTCTCCATACTAAATTATTGGACATTACACACCTTGAATTAGGTGAGAAATAAGAAAAAGTAAAAAATGTGTGTTCAAAGCATGTGTTCAAGGCAAATGACCTCATGGTGACCAAATCTTTGCCTTCGAGTACTTAATTTGTTCGACTCGATAATGTTCTCATTCTAGCTCAGAAAAACAACCTAGTTACCATTTACCACAATTGATAAGGAGCAAATCCCTACACGTAAGGACATCTCCAATGCTTGGGTGGATTGGGATTCCAACTAAGCAAATGCACTTTCTATAATAATATGTACTCTCCAATAGTGATATAAATGGACTCCGAAGGGTTGACATGGCAAAACTCATGGTCTAACAAAGGGTCAACATTGAGACCCTTAGTGCCACCCTCCCACACACTATCCATGCAACATACCAAGCTTTTCTTTTTCTCTTTCATCAACTTTTCCCTTCCGCACTGGAGCATCGTTCAAATGCACCCTACCCTTGCTCATATTTGATCTGGACCTTCTCCATTTATAAGCACCAATGCACCTCAAGCATTGGATATACTGAATTTGAAGGGGAACAATCTCTCAAACTACAGACACTAATAATGAAGTTTCCCACCAAATGTCCCAAAGTTTGCCCTCTTCAAATTTTGGAGCTACACTTAAAAGAATTTCAAATGATGGCGGTCTAGAATATTTCACCATGGTCATGCCAAGAAAGAATAAGAAGGCACAACATACCGAGATGTTTAGCCGCTAAAGATAATGACTATACTTTTAGGTTCCACACTCACCCAATGACTACATAGAAACAAGCAAGGTCCATCCAAGAAGAAGATGAATACTACATCTACACTGAAGATCGTCAATTTGAATCTCCCCAAAAACTAATAAAAGGACGGGTGAGGTACAGACCAAACTATATATCTTGAGGCAAAATTTTCTCCACCCTACTTCTAGCGAGACATAAAATTCCACAACAACTACAACAATGAGTTATCAACTTGTTCAGGAGTTCCAACAACTGTTTAAATTTAAAGCATAAATGTTCTCTGGCGTTTTCCACATCGAAAGGTGTATTACCCCGAGCCAAAAAAATAGTTTTATAATGGCGCTAACTGAATTGACTTAGTTTTCACCAGATGTCATGTCAGATTCGAATCGACACGTGTAACCCGATTACTAAAACGGATCACTTCCGAGTCTGATTATCACAATATAGGCTTGAGCTCATTTCTTTTTCTTCATTGTGGTGTTTTTTTTCTTTTAGTATTTTGGAACTTTAAATAGTCAGAACTAGCAATGGTACTCGTAGGAATAAATTGAGGTGAATCAAACTAATGTCTATTTAATACCCCAACCCCTACCCCTAACATTTCTATCTTCTAACTTAGAGAGAAACACATACGATGAAAATGACATTGAGATTAAATGAACATTATTTTGAGTTCATTTGAGAAAAAATGGAGATGGGTAGGAGTTACAAGTATAAGTGTATAACTAGTTATTTTTGTGAACACTACTACTCCCTCCGTCCCCTTTTAAATGTCTTGTTTTACCATATTGGTAGTCACTATTTAATTGTCTCATATGTAGTACTCCGTATCTTATTTGGTAAAGTTTGTATGATTCAAAATCACACAAACTCATTTTTCCTTAAACTCGTGTCACCTTCTTCCGTCCCAATATAAAAGGGACGAAGGTAGTAGTAGTTACTAGCATTATTTCATTTCTTGTTGTGAACACTATTAGTAGTTAGGACCCGAAAGATAAACGAATTATCAATCCGGGACTTGAAAGATGAAATGCATCGATATAGGACCCGAATGATGAAAAACTATCAATTTAGGACCTGAGTGATTGAAAACTATCAATATAGGACCTAAGTTGTCATAAATTTTGTAATTTTTTTTATTTTGAAAATTTTAAATATTATTTAGTTTTATTAAACTAATAAACTTTTGTGAAGAAAAGTTTTTAAAAAATTAGTAATGGAATTTAAAAAAATTAAATAAATCAAAACCTATGAAATGTTAGGTCCTAAAATGATAGTGTTCCATCATTCAGGTCCTATATCGATACGTTTCATCTTTCGGGTCCTGAATTGATAATTAATCTATCTTTCGAGTCCTGAATTGATAAAATTCAGGATAGTTATCAATAACATTAATTTTTATGAATTCTCTCCCTAGAGACTAAAATCGCCCAAAGCAAAGATTAATTTCATAAAGAAAAAAGATTGGGGTACACACTTTTTGTACACAAAAAGTGTACACTCGTTTGTCCCCCACAGACAAATTGTCTGTCGCGAGATGAGTTGTCGCGACAGACAATTTGTCTGTGGGGGACAGACGAGTGTACACTTTTTGTACAAAAAGTGTGTACCCCTAGCAGGCCTCTTTCATAAATTCACCTAAGCACATGGTAGTTGAGTTACTTGTGGAATGCATAATGGGCTAGTGGCCATTGGGCATATCACCATGGAAATTTGCTTGAATTTTGCACGCTGTCCGAGACACCAATCTGCAACACCCTCAAGTCGCCTTACTATATTTTCTCGCTGCTACCGCTTTGCCACAATCAGATTTCTTTTCCCTCTATAATTATAGTCTTTCTTTTTCTTCAAGAGCTCTGTTTTCTGCGAAGAAAACCAGCATCTTGCTCAACGATGGCTGACCACGGGAAGTCCAAAGTGGACATATCGTTCGCCGGCACATTTGCCAGTAGCGCTTTTGCTGCCTGTTTCGCCGAGGTATTTCATTACACATTCATCTACCTATTCTTTGCTACTCAATTTACCATTAACTGATGGTTCCTGATAGTCCATTTCCGTTTCGAATGAAATTGGTCAGTCTACCCTTGTACATTTACATTAGCATTTTGGTAAATTTTGTATGAGAGGTTCCATTCATGTATGGGTTGGCTCGGCAAATGACCGATTTTTTGTTCTTGATGTATAATTTCCATCCTGGTTGACTCAGCAATCATTGGGCTAGTCTTTTTAATGACGACATTTGCTACTGAGTATCAATTGACCTTATTTGTACCATGGCATGAGCTGAATGGGGTTATTTTCCTTGTCATTTACCATGTAGCTCTAAATATACCTGCTACTTCTGTTACTTCAATATTCATTTGATGCAAAAATTGGATCTTCTCTCTTTTCTGCCTGAAGCCACTAATTGCACTAATCCAAGATAGTTAAAGGATACTTAATTTGATTCAGAAGGGAAGTCTGATGCTATGGTTTAGTAAGTTCTTAATTATGTCATTTGTCTTGACTTTATCGGTTTACTGTGACCAATTGGAAGTCTGAAAACAATTCTGATGCTATATCCTGATTTTAGTGAGCCTGTTGTCATTTTTTCCCTCTTATTATGCGATTTCCATATGTTTTTGATTTGTTGTTCAGATTTGTACAATCCCATTGGACACTGCTAAAGTTAGGCTTCAGCTCCAAAAGAAAGCAGTTGAAGGGGATGGATTGGCTCTACCAAAATATAGAGGAATGTTGGGTACAGTAGGCACAATTGCCAGGGAAGAAGGTTTAGCTGCTTTATGGAAGGGAATTGTTCCAGGGTTACACCGTCAATGTCTATTTGGGGGCATACGCATTGGGATGTATGAGCCTGTATGCTTCTTCTTCTTTGATTAATTTTACTTGTTAGTTTTTAGCATTAAAAACTCTTCCCGTTCTAATATCCTTGCACCTCTTCTTTTTTCATTAATTCTGTGCAGGTAAAGAACTTTTATGTGGGCAAAGATCATGTTGGGGAAGTGCCTCTTACAAAGAAAATACTTGCTGGCCTCACAACTGGTAAGAATATAATAAACCAAATCCATGGATTTCGTCCTTTAAAACCTATAATATGCACTTGTTATATTTATTTCCTGCACCCTAATCTTTTTGTTTTTTTATTAGCTCTTTTTGTAACATGCAAGATATTTTAATGTGATGATTGTTTGTTTTACAGGTGCTTTGGGTATAGCTATTGCAAACCCTACTGATCTCGTTAAGGTGAGGCTCCAATCTGAAGGAAAATTACCTCCAGGTGTGCCAAGGCGTTACTCTGGAGCATTAAATGCTTATTCTACCATAGTGAGACAAGTTAGTCTTCTGACACTATTCCGTTTTATCTACCTCCAAAGATTTTGAATCAGCTGTTGGGTGTAAGCTTTATTTTCAATTCATTATCTTTTTTTCCATATGGAGTTTAGGAGGGAGTCACAGCTCTTTGGACTGGAATTGGACCGAACATTGGGCGAAATGCTATAATAAATGCAGCTGAATTAGCAAGTTATGACCAAGTCAAGCAGGTTGACTTGCCATAAGAATTTGTAGCATACTCATATTTTTCATTGACCATCAACTTTGTCCTAACTCCTAACTATTTAATATATTTTGTAAATTTCCTTTGCAGACAATTCTTAAGATTCCTGGGTTCACAGACAATGTCCTTACTCACATTTTATCCGGTCTTGGAGCTGGTTTCTTTGCTGTCTGCATAGGCTCCCCAGTGGACGTGGTATTTATAAATGTTTTTCCTTTTTTAGTTTATTATTAGATTCCTTAATAAGTTTCCATGGTTTCTGGTCCTTGAATATTATTCAATATCATGTTACTCGTTTCTTAAATTTCTATTATTTCCAACCGAATTCTTCCCAATGTGTCATATTATCCTTTTCACTCTTCCATTTTTATGATATTGTCACATCAAGTTATATAGAATTCGATGTTACTTTTGATTGCATATAATTTATATTGCCGTTGACATGAGGTAGGCAAATCACTTACGATAGCTACCTTCATGCAGGTTAAATCCAGAATGATGGGTGATCCAACATACAAGAATACATTAGATTGCTTTGTGAAGACGCTGAGGAATGATGTACGTGTTTTCTCTCTGTGTTATATATATCTCATTTTATATCATTTCAATATGGATTCAGTAATTGAATCTGTCATCATAACTTGCTCTAAGCTTATCAGATGAGCTGATAGTTATGCTTAGCATTTCAAATGTTAGTCTATCAGTCTATGCAACTCTAGTGTTGTTGTGTCTACAGGGACCACTTGCGTTCTACAAAGGTTTTATACCAAATTTCGGCCGGCTAGGCTCATGGAATGTGATTATGTTTTTAACATTGGAGCAGGTAAAAAAGATGTTTAATTATTTCCTAGTCTTTTTTCTGCTTCTGTCTGGATCAATGATAGTCACAAATCTCTATGATTGGAAAATGTTGGTTGATAATTCCTTTTGTATGGGCAGGCTAAGAAGATTGTGAGAGATTTAGAGTCTTCAAGAAGTTAAAAAAGTATGGACTCTATTAACTGAGGAGTCATCAAAGTGATCCATGGCCGATTGGCCACTGCAACTTGATGTGTTCTTTCTCACATTTGAGATTTCCATTGGATCATACTATATATGTAACATTATTTTTCCAAGCTTGGGAACAAAGGCAACTGTCATAAATGAATGAAGACATGTTTTTCTTTTTTGTTTGATTTTGGTTGTGTTCCTTGGGGAGCATCTTCTTTTCCAAATTTGCTGAAGTGAAACAGCTACCTACTCTGTAATTGGTTGGATGAATTGTTGAATCTTCCGACTTGGAAAATACAAATAAGATTAGCAAAGATTTTCTGTTCTCAAAAGGCTTGAAAGTGCTTCTAGATAAGAGTATGTTCTGTTATTATGAAATTATTATATATTGTCATATTAATGCATTGATGTTAATATTTTATTAGAATGATCTCCAATAATATCATAATATGACATTATGTTTCGAGTATGCTAATATACTACGGAGTAGTGCTTTACTCCTATTTAACGCAAGAAAGTAATCTTATTTTTACTTTTATTTTAAGAACTTTCGTGTAACAATGGTTCATATATTTCTCATAAAAATACTACTCCGTACGTACGTAAGAGTGTAAGACCCCTCACTTGACCTACCGTGTTGCCTTTAACTCTTTAAGCCCTTTATATAGTCTTAGTGCATCAATTAATAGAAGTAATTTAATAAAGTTACGTGTGAAGGTAAGCAAGTAGTAATAAATATTACTCCGTATTAAATGTACATAACCCATATTCAAATAAGTACATCAACATATATTTGAACAAAATACAAAATGTTTAATTCCCTGTCATTTTACATATTTAATAATGATTAAAGAACAACTAGCTCTTCTTTCCGATTTAAAAAAAGAACAACTAGCTCTATCAAATCGGTAACACAATTCGCAAGCTAAAATCACCGGATACGGTTTCTCTGTCTGGCTTTGGTAGTCGGTGTCTGACTTTTATAAGTCACGGATCATCAAATGCAGCAGACTACATGCCACCCCCCTCCCTCCATACTCTTGTTGTCGTCGAATCTGCGCCAAAGAGATTGTCGTTCGGTGGACGTGAGCTTTCTTATTTGATAGGATATCCTCATATTCGTGATTCTTCAAATCATTGTTGTATTTATAGTGACTCATTTAACACTTATTTAAGAGACACTTTATTGTTGGCAATTTTTTTGTTCAAGAATTGGTTTTTGTAAGTGTCATTACTACACATTCATGCTAGTTTACCAACCTAAATCCTAAGTAATCATTACTCCGTTTTTATTTAGTGTAATCCCACTTCATTTAAATCATGAACGTAGACCACAATCCTAATCCCATAATCCTCTCAGGTACTACTAGTCATTATCGGTAATCACATGTCATGATCGTTAATCACAATTCATTATTTACTTACATGTCACAAATGTGATTACTGGAGCATATTAACTCGTCATTACTACACAATCATGGCAAGAATACCAAACTCAATCCATCCTCTTGTTTCATTACCCCATTTCCAGACTACAAATTCACAGTCTTAATATCATTAACGTATACCACAATCTAAAAAATCATGAACGTAGAACACAACCGTGTTAATTACTAACCAATAGAAACGTCTCGTTACTACACAATCACTACCACTCCAACTCTACGTAAAAACATACCTCCTGTTGGTTCATTACCACACATCATTAGTATACTATCATGAACTAAAAATCATGAACGTAATCCGCCATTCATGTTTCAAATTCATTTCTCAATGTTAATTACTCGAATAAGATCAACCGTAAACCAAACAACATCATATCCATGCTCAAGTAATTCATAAACAGAGGAGCAAACCTGTAAAATCCGCCTCTTCTTCACCTTCGGAACATCAAATAATCGCCCCTCGAAATGTGGTTTCTCAGTCTGGCTTCGAATGAATTGACCCCCGCTTCCGTACGTTATGACTACAAACTTCTTACGTTACCTGTTTATCCGATCATGATTACGCCAGAATTTCTGAAATTTAATCGTTTCCATAACCGTTTTAGGGCACCCAAGTAATTTCCCTGCATTACTAAAAGCCCAACGTGCATGTTTCTTAGTTTTAGTCATATTCATGTAAACCAAGTATTAGTAGTAATATTTATATAAAAAACTCTATTATTAACCGAGTACTTGTACTAGTTTTGTGAGTCTGTACTTGAGCTGAAACAATTCAAAAACAAAATTGCTACGACTAGGAATGGTTTTGATGCCACTTAGAAAATGATACAGGACAATTAAAGTGGTTCTTAAGAGTAAATGCTAAAACTTTTCAAATTCAAGCATTATTTTGATTTATTTGTTGAACCGAGAAGGCGAGAATTTAAGGGTTTGTTTGGGAGTTGGCTTTTGGAAGGGAGGGAAGGTAAACAAAGGTTTATGATCCTCCCTTTCATGTTTGAGAGTTTAAAATATGGAGGAGATAGGTTTGAAGGGCTTTTGTAACCATCCAAAACCCTTCAAATACCCAATTTTCAAGTTCCCCAAATTGAGAGGTTTTGGAAAGATAATTAATTAAATGACAACTTTAGCTCAATTTTAAATAAATATAAATTCAATTATTTGAACTTGTCATATATGTGAAGTGATTTTAATTATAATTCATGTCATATATGTAAATGATTTTAATTATAATTCATGTCATATGTAAAATGATTTTAATTATAATTCATCCATAAGTTCTTTCTTTCCAAATTTGTTATTCCCAAACAAGAAGAGTTTTTCTCCCTTCTCATATTCTTCCCTTCCAATGACTAACCTCTAAAACCTTCTCCTCCCCTTTCCTTCAAACTGCCAAACACACCCTAAAAGTACATGGAATAGGAAGGTTTAGCACTTTTGCAGTAGTTTTGCACTTTTGCATAATGGAAGAGCAAACTACGCTTATCTAGTTCAATTATTAAAATCCCTACAGCAAGATCTATTTTACAATAAGGTCAATAGCGAGAAAATCACATTGGTTAGGAATCCAAGAGACCCCTTGGGTAGTTGGGTATAATGATTCGAACTGAATCGAACTCGTTCAGTAACACTAAAATTGGCTTAATCGGTCGATTCTGTTGAAGTTTATGAAGTTCTAACTAAAACGTTTAAATTGATTGATTCTACTAATTTATGAAATAATTATACTAAATACTACGCAGGGGTGGACCCGGGCCGGTTCGGGCCTGGGCCCGGCCAGGCCTCGGGCCAGAAAACTGGGGCCCGAACCGCCGGTGGCCGGTTCCGGGCCAAACCGGGCCGGGCCAAACCGGTCCATTTTTTTTTTGTTCTCCTATTTAACCCCCTACCCCTCCCCCTCAACCCCAAACCACCTCAAATGGACCAAAATACCCAATCCAACCCAAAACTTAAAAAAATTTCAAAAAAAAAATTAAAATCTGGCCCGGACCGGGCCCGAACCGGCCGGGCCGGTTCACCTAAATCAGGACCCGAGCCCGGACCGCCCATCACCCGGGCCGGGCCAAACCGAACCGATGGACCCACCGGGCCCCGGGCCGGGCCAAACAGTAACTGGGCCGGTTCCGGGTCGGGTCGCCCGGCCCGAGTCCACCCCTAATACTACGTATGAAAATAGCTAAAGTGGTCATCAACATTAACTTCAACCAATTCAGCCAGAAAAATAACTCTAACCTTACTTTTTTTTAGTACAGAGTATTACACAATTCAGCTTGTGAAATCAAAAGTTACATGTTCATGAAAAAGTAGACTGATAAAACTGATAAGCCAAGAAACAAGAGTAAACTCATATCAATCCCTCAATATCAAATTCAGCAAGGGTGAACAAAAGTTAGTGTTGAGTAAAAATGCAGCCTATTTTTTCAAAGCAATTCTGGTTCCTTCCAAATAGGCCAGTTTTGGGCCTTTTGGCAACATTTTTTTTAAGATGAAGGAATCAGGTATAACAACCGCAACAATTATTTTTACCTGATGTAGAACTTAATTGATATTACCTGTCCCATTTCCTACCTAAGGGGGGCGGAAACTGTCCAAACTCAAAAATTGAAGAAAACTGGGCGGATTCCGCTCTACTGCTCTAGTTTTATTGGATCAGCTTAATAAAATGTGATGTTTATCTTCCTTTTATAATACGGAGTACCATTTTATAATGCCACGCCTGAAATAAATATTCAATAAACAGCATAAAGAAAGATTTATCCTGCACAGTTATGACACTCCGGCTGAATGTTTTCTAGCTTCATAATGACAATCTATATTCTTTTTTCTTTGTGATTCTATAAAAAAAATATTATTTCAAGAACTCTCCCCTTTGCTTGCCTCGTTTTGTTCTTCAGGGAGGCTGCTGCTAGATACAGTCTTGAGTGGTGCAGGCAAGGAATCAATCAAGCTTGCAGCTATGGCGGCTTTCAAATCTTCATCCTCTTGGTCAAGTAATAAGGTTTCTCGCTCCCTGGACTGGAGATCTTGCCGCTGCCTCCTCCCTCCACCAGTTCTGCTGGGGGCTGAGTTGCAAGACTTTGTAATCCTCTCAGCATCTTCAGGTGTGAGCCACTGTCCAAAACCATTAGATGCCTCAGAGGAGGTGATTGGACATTCTTCGGGGAAATTCCCCCTGACCAAGAATATGCTCCACCCAAAACTTTTCAAGGAATCAAGGTACGCGGAGAGGTAGAACTTGGAGAGGTGTTGCGGGGCTGCATAGAGGCTGTCAAAATTATACCACTCCCCATTCACTTTCCGGATGCAGAACCAATGGTCCCGCAAATGACAGATAAATGCATTTTCAAGTTCTGGGTCAATTTGAGCATGCTCTGCGACTGGGTTGTCAAGTGGAATTACTTGCAAATCCCATACCTCCAACGCCTTTTCCAGAACCTGCATGTACCAACATTTTTAATTACATTAACTTATGAAATAATGACAAATGTAGGACTGAAATAAAAAAACATTGGACAAAAATGTGACTTCGAAAGCAATGACAATGGTGCTATTTTAGCAGTGTCTTTAGTGACCATGGTGATGTTTCATTATACCATGAAGTGAGTCAAGTGACTTTGATATTTTCTTAGAGTGTAGTGGCCATATTTTTGTCCATGACTTTTGCTTTAGTTACATTTTAATCAAACAAATCAAACAATAAAAATTGCATAATCCAGGGGATATGATGCATGATCATTGGAATTAATAGATATAGATTTAGATACAGCTACTCCCTTAACCAATCACCAGTTTTTTATTATTCTTTGCTTAATTTACATTTGAGTAGTCTCATTCTGGTAAGCTAGCTTGGGAAAGCAACTCTCCTCAGGCAAGACTAAGTTCTTGCAGGAGAGTGTTATGCCTGTCCTTTCGCTTAATTTCAATTAATAAACTGTGTTCCTTTCCTTCTTCATTCCCTCTTTG